CTGTACTATATCTTACGAATAATTTATGGACCTATTGAAAATCTCTGTATTTTTATACTTGTTATTCTGAATCAATCAGATGAGTCTATAATACGCACTCTATGAAAAAATATATTTGCATTTTCAGCCCTTTATCTTCATAGTTCCGCAATGTCTACCCCTCAGACGCCAAACAATCATATTTTCTTATTAGAAGATGTCAATTCGAGCCGTACTCGTAGCCTTTTTGTGTCTCCAGATGGCCTGACAAAGAAATCCTGCTCCTTAATTACTAGCACTAATGGAGGAGCTGATAAAGTCCCTAGGTCTTTAACTAGTGATATCCCTCTCAGTAATGGCCAGATAGTAGGTGGGCGCTTGCAAGAGACGCTAGCTGAAGCTGTTGGCCAATTGACAGCTGTTGCTAGGGCCTTGGCAACGGGATCAAGAGAAAAAATTGAGAAGGAAGTTTGCACAGCCAGTGGAGAGTACCGAGAGAGCAAAAGTATTCCTATTAAACTGGAGTCTAAGGCCAAGAAATCACTTCTCACTGTTCGCCACCTCTTCAGTATTCCTCTTGATTCCTCCGGAAGACTTGGATTCGGAAGATCGCCACCTAAGGTAATGGAGCTTACTTTTTTTATTTTGGATCGCTTAAACCTTTTTTGTCTTCAAAGTGTTTTGAACTCCATCCTATTCCCTGAATTTGATAGGACTTTTGATAGCAGATAGAATAGTTAGTAAATCCATATTCCTTTATCCTGATCACTTTCATCACAATTCTTATTATTTTCCTTTTGTATCTTATTGGCTTCAATAGTCTATTTAATCGTATTGTATTAGGAGTGGATAATTGTTGCCAACCCTTAGAGCCACAATAAGCATGCATATATGCCGATAGAACTATCACAAAATCGCCTAGTATTTTTCTTTCAGCTCACTTAAATATCTGAGGAATGTTTGTATTTATTTGGAATGTCCGAGTTTTGAATGGCCAAGTATATTTTATGTCACATACTTGCTAGATGAGTATAATAAGCAAGCTTTGGGTAGGGCACCATGGAAAAATTTTAATTGCAAAAGGTCGCCGCGACTATTAAAAGTTTGGGAACCACTGCCATAAGGTATGATTTTAGCTACTCATTTGGCCAACTTACTAGCCTAAAACATAATTTCATTTCTATATGAATTTTTGTTCTGATGTCTTAGTCGGGAATCTTTGAGCGCCGTCATTTTTTACTCAAGCTTACTTATTCTAGCCTAAATTTTTACGTCTT